CTGGAAGAGATGTTACATTTGCAGCCTTTAAATCGAAGCCATTTCTAAATAATTTCAATTAAATGCCAGGAAACTAGAAGCTCCACAGCAAAGGTTATCTATTTACTGACTAGGAACTGCGCTCTCTTCTCTTAGGTTGCCTTCACTGCCGGGAATCTACCTCTCACTCCTCCTCACCCAGACCCATTGTAAAAAAAGGTACAATATTTAGTTTTGTGGGACTTAAGTTAAAAAATAAAAAGCTGTCCAGTCTTTTTGCTTTATCGTGAAGAGTTTGAGCTGGAGCGGCTGCGGTGGCGCCTTCGCCCAGGAGATCTGGATCTCGACCGCCGGCGAACAGGGGATCTGCGCCGAGGAGACCGGGACCTGGTGGACAAGGAAGGAAAAAGATCCTGTTAGGAGATGAGAGCGACAGGTTCCAGAAGTCTGTCACCTCATGCATTATCTTTTTCGAAGAAAAGTACTGTAAATAAGTTTCACTGAAATATACGGAGGAGAAAAGGCAATCCAAACACTGACTACCTAGCAGGAATATTCTGGCAAGGCTCTCTACTCCTCAAGAAGTTGAAAGAATCTTGCAAGTCCAACGAATGCACGAGAATTTTGTCTTTTAGCTCAAGCAAAGGAATGATCTTAAGTTCACTCTGTCGGAGCAGGTCACCCTTGCACTAAGGAGCTAAGAAGCCCAATCCAGGTTCATCTGACACCTAAGAGACGTTACTGTTGTTTGGAAGGGAAAGGCAAGTCCAGCCAGGTGAAACGGTCCCCATGCTGAGTCTTCCATGGTGCCAGGTTGTTACACGAGAAGGAAACGCGGGTTGTCACAGGTCTCACCTTCTCCTCATGCGAGGGGGCGACCTACGCCACATGGGTGGCGGAGGCAGCATCCTCCTGGGTGGGCTAAAGCGCCTGGGAGGGGGTCTGGGCCGCGGTGCCAGAACAGCTGTGGCCGTGATCTCCTGACCATCGATCTGACCTGTGCAGAGAATCACAGATGCACAAAGAGATGACACTTTCCAGCACTAGCATCTTCACGCCCCATGTGCGACGCGATTCACTGCTTTGTCACAAGCAAGTGAACTATGAGTCAGCCTACAGTCCTGCTTCAGAAAACTCGGTTTTATTAGACCTCATTAAATGGATTTCAGCTACCGAAAATCTGCCCCACCAACTCATTTTCAGATCAACCCCATGGGTTCCAAATACTTTTTTAAAGCCTCCAGCATCCTTGCAGCACCCGATACCTACCCCCGTCCATGTGTTTCAGGGCTTTCTCAGCATCATCGGGGTTCTCGAACTCCACATAGGCATAACCCTTGGAGAGATGCGGATTTAGCCTGTCGACTGGCATGTCAATCATTTTAATCTTTCCATACGTGGAAAAAATTTCCATGATGTGATCCTGCAAGAAAAAAAGCAAGTTTTAAGGACATACACTACACTAAATTAGCCTTAAATCAATGCCACCATCAGGGACAGATGCATTTTATTGGCTAGATGTGGACAAGAGGCCGGATTGCTGCTGCTTTCTCTACTGCTGCCTATTCTGCTCTGCCTCATGTAGCTTCAAACCTTAAGGTCTAACAGCATCACTGCCTGTGTGACAAATCCGGCCAAATCTTCCAGGCTACAGAAAATCTATCAAGTGTAAAAATCCAGAAAATCAACAACCTCTTGGGACTTCAAAAGACAACTTCCATCAAGTGCTCATTGCTAAAGCAGCATTTGCTTAATGCTATATAAAAATATTTACTTTTCAACATCCTAAACATTTTTTCTTTTGTGAAGACCTTCAAACTACATTCCAGGAAAGACAACTCAAGTCAGCCCAGCTCTCTTCGGATCCATTAATCAAGACTTTCAAATATCTTTAACACCTCCAAGGTCGTATCACAGAAAAGCTGATGTTGGGAGGAACCCTTAAAGACCTCCTGGTCCAACCCCACTTGTCAAGCAAGGTCCTCTACAGCACATAATTCAAAAGCTGTCTGGGCAGGATTCTGGACATCTCCAGGGATGGCAGCTCCACTACACCTCTGGGCAGCCTGCTCCAGTGCTCAGGAACCTTCACACTCAAGGCGTGTTCAGATGGAGCTCCCCGTGTTCCAGTTTATGCCTGTCTCTCACCCTGTCACTGGGCACCACTGAGAAGAATCTGAGTCCACCTTCTTTATACCATCCCTTCAGATACTTCAGCACCCTGATAAGGTGGCCTAAGTCTGGGATACTGAGAAAGCAGACAGGCCATTTCGTACTGCACAGCCTTAAAACCTGCATTTTATCCAGCTCAGGGTAACCCTACAAAAGTTTCACTCACTCATCTAATTGGCCCCAAAGCAGCAATTTCCAACAGCAAAATGTTATCAACATTGCAGTAACAAAAAGGTTGGGGATATAAAAGGGAAAAACAACATCCATGCAAACAAAGAAAAACCCTCAGGTGGCACACGGGCACACTGAGGCTTCCTCCTCAGGCTGCGGCCAGCGACGCGGTGGCGCACATGTCCCCACCTTGGTTACGTTCCTGGTGAGCCTTCCAACGTGCACCTTGGTCGGCCTGGGTGAGGGGCTCCGCCTCTTCCGCTCCTTCTCATCTCTCTTGGGTGCCTTAGATCTGATTTTGACAACACAAAATATTGTCTAGGAACACTCAATACAAAAACTACAAGTCAATCCCAACCACATAATAAAAAAGCAGCATTTCTTGGTTATGAGAGGGGGGCAGGGGCACCTTTTTTCTTTGAGATGACAAGTTACATGTTCCAAAGGTAACAGAGGGGCAGTTTCCACTTGGCAACATCTCAAGATTCAAATCTGTCTTTTCTGATTTTGCTCTAGAAACTCCTGGAATTTTAGATAATCTTGTTTTTTGTGAGTTCTTACCACAAATAGGGTAACAGATGTGGAAATTTGAAAGACATTTCTTCAAAGTTGCTGGCTACACTCATAGAATTTTGTATTTATTAAAACAAGACTACTAACATGCTTTGGATTTGCAATAACAAAATCTAAACACAGACAACAACAAGAAATATACCCCAACCAGGAAGCTTATAGACCCAGTGATTTGTGTTCCTGCATTTTCTGTTCACTAGAAGGGGCTAAAAATGTCACATGCATGAAACAAATTATTTAAGTAGCTGTACATTGCAATTTCTTTGTAGTTTTAAAATTTATATTACAAAAGGATTTTTTTTAAAAAAATTCACTATGTAGAAGATTTGTATTTATATTTCTTTCCAATTTTAGTGTCCATAGCCTCAGGGATACGCTCAAAACACAATAGATTCTAATGCTTTAGTAGATTTTATCACCCTTAAGCACCTTATTCACAGAATTACTCAAAGGAAAAAAAATGGGAATTAAATTTGATTTCTCCCCTTTCAAAATATGCTTCCTTAGGTTTCCTCCACACCATACATACATATAATACACACACTCATACACACACATCATTTTAGCCCTTATTTTTCTGTTGTTTTGGCTCTAAGTTATACAGTACATACAAAGTGTTTTACGCTCATCTAGCACCCATTTGCCTCCTTGGCGGTCTAACACTGTCCAAAGCTGCCCACACAAAACACACCAGGTAGCAACCATCCTTAAAAAACATCTTTGATCTCCCTTCCTTACAGGGCAGATGCTTCAGTTGTATTCGTAAGGGACACCACATTCTAACAAAATTCAGGTCTCTACATCACGGAGAAAGCAAAGTCTTCTAAAAGATTTCTGCTCTGATCTTGTGTTCTGCGTGGAAATTAACCTCCTATCTGGTGATCCTCAGAAGACAAATCAAACTCACTTGGAGCGGGAGCGTCTCCTGTTGTCATGTCTCCGTCGAGAGGGACTTGGGGATCCGGAGGAGCTGCTGGAGCTGGAACTGCGAGAGGTGCTAGAGCTCCCGGACCGGCTTGAAGCAGAGGAGGAACTAGAACCACTGCTAGAACCAGTGCTGGAACTGGACCCCGAACTAGAAGTCGAACTGGAACGGGATCTGTAACGGGAAAAAGCCAGAGCGGACTACCATGAAAAATAGCCAAAAAAGCCTTCTGATAATTAGAGAAAGGAATTGTGACTGAAAACAGTGAAAACTAACCCTCATAGCTCACTAGCTCAGCCAAAGAACGTTCATACCTCACAAAAATAAACTCTCTTAAACTAGAAAACGTCACTGTAACTAACACAGTGCAGACTCTCAGCAAATCCATGTCATTGGGAATACAGACCAGAAATCAGGATGGTAGCTTCTGCAAATACAGTGGTTTGCTACTGCCCACGAGATTGCTGAGAAACACCAAGGAAAAAGTGCTACCTGGTACTGCTGCTCCCACTGGAAGCGCTGCGCCGCTTGCGGGTCTTGTCCCGACCACGATCCTTCTCACTTGATTCCTTGGTGCCTGATTTATCTTTGGACCGGTCCTTGGATTTGTCTTCAGACCTATCCTTGCGCTTCGTGGGTGAGGGAGCCCTTTAGGAACAAAATACAGAAGATGTAATTGTAAGAAAAAAATAAACCCTTCCAACAAAACAACAGCAAAAAGCAGCACAGCTCCTTGAACGTCAAGTGTCACTCAAAACCACCATAAACAAAGGGTTAAGGCTTAAGCAGCATAAGGCCAGTTTGGGCTTTTTTTTAAAAAACAACAACAACAACAACAAAACAACAAAACAAACAACAACAAAACAAAAAAAAACCCCAAAAAACAAAAACATTTTACATTACAGAGCAGCTCTCAGAACGGCTGTAGCCAACATAAATTCTCACGCATGGAAAATTGCATTTCCAAGTCCTCACCTTCACTGGGTCATTTCAAGCTATCATTTGACATCCACAGAAGTACAAAGAATCCTCATTTTCCAGCCAAAATTAATGGCAAGGAGAGAGGAAACATTTTATCTGAGAGATTTTTCTCTCGCCAGCTGCCTTGTTTTCAGAGGGGCGAGCACTGCTTACCCCCCTGGGCAGCTGGTGCTGCACAGACGGGGTTGCCCAAACCAGAAACTCTGCTCATTTCTAGGGCTCCCTTCAGAGTCAGTTTACTGCAAAGCTGCTGCCCCGCTGCAAGTGCAGAGCCTGCTCTAGCTGCAAGGCGGAAAACCCACGGTGCTTCTGACCCCGGGAAGCTCCTGGCTGAGTCTAGGTGCAAAAGGAGGCAACGGAGCAGCAACTGGGATGAAAATACCAGCCGCTAACCCAGTGGCAGGTATTTTCCATGAGAAGGCTGGATCCCTCACATATAATATGATCCCCAGAAACTTTTTTGCATCTTGACTGTTCCACCTGCCCTGCTTGACATCTGAATTACAATGATGCCTCCAACACACGGCCAAGTACTCACTGAAGCAGTGCGGGGGGGTTGATTTGGTGCAAGACCTGCCTTTCCCAGGAGAAAACGTCTTTCCTGCAGCTCCAGCAGCATGGATAGCCCCAACACGCCGGGGCCGGGATCACCTCCCCAGACCAATAAACACCGGGAGCAAAGGGCACTAGGATGAGAAAACCTCCCTGGTTTGCAGGGCACGGTAGCGTTGTTCCCTGCTCCTCTGCTAATCGCTGCCACACTCCTAATTAAACTTGTTTGGGGAAAAGACCTCACTGGACGTCGCTTCCCTGGCGTCAGCTTCACAGTTCCCCTTCACACCACACCAGCTTCCCCAGGAATCCCCAAACAGCACAAACCAACGGCCCCAAGTCCACCCCAGGCAGCCCCCGTCTCGTCACAGGAACAACAGACAACGCAAAGGGCGCCAGCCCGGAACCGAAACCC